ATCATTCTTTGTTAAAATAAACAGAATCGCATAATTTCACATTTTTGGGCTCAGTTTGCATAATTTCAGAATTTTTCTTGCATAAAACGACGGGGACAGGCCAATACTCAAATGCTCACGACATTAATGTCTAAAGGTTCAAATGATCTAATCAACAATCCATTAAATCACAATTACTCCCCTCCCAATCATCCCCCCCCTTTGCAAAGGTTAATACTCAATTAATACTCACGACATTAATGTCCAAGGGCTCATAGTACTCCCAGCTGACACAGTCTCGGCTGTGGTACAGAGTGACCTCCCCCACGGTGCCAGACTCTGCCTTGTGCTTGACGGAGACTCGAACCCAGGACAGCAGCAACTGGTGCGGGTACGTGAGCTCTCGACCACCGCCCGACAGCCACAACTCGGACGTTGGACTCAAGTGGGGCTGGCAGTGGTCTGATTGTGACGTGACTGTGGAGGGATGTCATGGGAGAGTTAATGATATGTTGATATGTAAGGCATCCTGGTCAAATCAGGCACTTGTGAAAATGATGAAATCGGAGAAAACGGCAATTTTCAGCCAGTTTGGAAATTTTTACCGAGTATTTGTTTTTTGGCTCAAGACTTAATACCTCTAATTAGAAACATATTTCGGAGTGGATATCACAGAAAATCGTTGATTACAGGCAGAAATATTGCACATTTTTAGTTTCCAAGAACTTTCAATCTACGGTAGTTACCGAACTCTGGCGGCCATTTTCCTGCTAATTTAACCACTGAAATCTGTCAATCCTCACCTCCTTCAATCACAAATATCTCGACTTTTATTCAAGACAGATGGAAATTTCTTTCATCAAAAGCTAGACGAATGAAAAAGCTTTTAAGCTGATACTAGTAACTCTATATGCCCCAAAATTGACGAGCGCCTGATTCCACCGCCTTGTGATACAATTATAATCGAGACACTACGGTGATCGTCAATTTTGGGGTAGTCATATATATTATGTACATATGCACAGAGATGACTGGTTTACTCACCACAGACTAGGAGATCAGACAGACAGACAGACAGACAGACAGACAGACAGACAGACAGACAGACAGACAGACAGACAGACAGACAGACAGACAGACAGACATGCAAAGAGACAGACAGACAGACGCCCAGACAGAATTTGCCCACTCATCATAGTCTAAGTGATCCTGTTTCATGGCAGACAGACAGACAGACACCCACACGTACACAGACACACACAGACACACAGACAGACAGACAGACAGACAGACAGACAGACAGACAGACAGACAGACAGACAGACAGAC